TCAGCTAGTTGCTACCCAGTCTTTGACTTCTGAGTTTTATTGACAAATAGAGTAATAGATACTTAATTTAAGCCTACAGAACAGGGGTCACAAGACTAGAAGCCCGCCAGGCCCTGAGCTGGCAGGGCACTGACTGAGCAACTGTGGGGCAGCAGACAATAATGAAAATATCAGTAGATTTCTGTACAGCCGCTAAGCTGACAGAAAACAGCATGGGGTGCCATATGTCATGAGTCTTTCTCTGTCCCACCATCCAGCTCCCAAGTAATGACACAGAGACTTCTTATTAATTATGAAAGTTCGGCCTATAGCTTAGACTTGTCCCCAACTAGCTTTTATAACTTAAGTGAATCCATTGTGTTATTATACATTCTATCATATGCCATCACCTCTCTTCTATCTTGCACTTCCTGTGTCCTCTCCTTGTCTCCTGGCCTCTCACATGTGTCTTGATTCCTCCTCCTTTTCCTCTCTCTTCCCGCCTATACCTTCTGCCTAGCTATTGGCTGCTCAGCTTTTTATTGCACCAATCACAGCAATGCACCTTCACATAGTATGCAAATATCCTACAACAGGGCTAACCAGCATTTTTGTACTGTAGATGTCCATTCCATGTCCTGCTGTGAGAAATTGTTCCAAGCTATTGACTCACTGTGTCCAGAGGCAAATCCAGGCTGGGTGGTACCTAGACAGAAAGACCCTCCACCTGCCTGCTTATCACAAGCTGTCCAGGGAGTCTGAGCTTCAAGGCTACTGGGAGGGGAGATACACATCAAGCCTGTGTAGCCCCTAGATGATGAGGAGGTGGCATTGCTGAGTAGATGCAGTGAAGGAAGCCTAGCGCTGTGGTGACTCCTACCCTCAGTTCCCTCCGCCTTCTCTCCTCATTTTCAAGAGTGTACTGTGGTTCTTCCGTAAGACCCTTCCTCCTTCCTCAGCCCCTGAGGCCAGTCAGTAAGATCTTCCAGAAGTTGCTCAACATTCTCTCTCTCTCTCTCTCTCTCTCTCTCTCTCTCTCTCTCTCTCTCTCGAATTCTCACAAGTTCTCACAAGGCCTCAGGGATGTGGATACCCGAGGGCTTCTCACCTGATCGTAAGAAGTGAATAACGTTCTGCTTCTATAACAAAACACTCCGAATAAGGGTTAAAATGAAAATTTACTTCTCATAATTCTGATATCTGGGAAGTCCAAAACCAAGCCGTGTCAGGTTTCGGTGTCTGGTTTTGGTGTCTGGTGAGGCCTGCTGTGTGCCTCAATAGGGCACTTTCCACAGTGTCTTCATATGGGGAAGGGGCAAGGAAAAGAAGCATTACTTCTTTGGTAAGACCCTTCGTCCCATTCATGATAAGAGTCCTCATAGTCTGCTCATCCCCCAAAGGCATGAATATTTAACTCATTTACCTTGAATATAAGATAAGATCCAGTATGAATATTGGAGGGTCACAAACATTCAATCCATAGCACACATGAATGGGGAAGAGGTCCCACGTCCAGGAAGGCAGTTTTGTAGGCTTGTTTTGGCTAGTCACGGCAGTCTCTTCTGGACAAAGTTATGCAGTAGGGCATGTGCTTCAGCCTCAGTTTCCCCTTCTGAAGCATCCCTCTCCATCTCTGCCCCAACCCTGACCACAGCTCTTTCCTACAAACATTCTCCACCAAAGGCACCTTCTCTGTTTCCGTATTCCACCAGGATATAGGCAACAGCTTAGCCCTTTTCAGGGTTGATTGTCATAGTGTATAGTGAGTGAAAGGGTCTATCCCCAGCTAAGAGAACATCAGGGCTATGGCAGCCAATGGCGCTGAATAAAGAGGAATCTCTATGAGGCAGGAATAATGAGGTATAGAGAGCTCAGGCCATTAAACTTCCTGTGCCAATGAAAGATTAATTCAGTCCGCCGATTGGTCAAAATGGCCCGTTATTAGTTTACCTTTTTGTTGCTTGTTTGTTATCCTGCCTCAGATTATGTTTTGTTTTTGTTTTTAAGCTCCTTTTAACGTTATACTTAGATCCTGGTACTGAGTAAAAAATACTGATTCTGCACTCTGGGCCTGCAGGCTTGGACTAAGAGAAGGATGAAAACCTTACATCCCTGCTCTCAGTTCGTGTCTGTCTCCTTCCTCTTGAGACTTTGGATCCGGCTCCTGAGCTTGGGCAGTGTAAATACTTGGGAGTGTCTGTCTGAAGACCACTGACATAAGGAAATTCGGCCTGCCTTCTAGACTCAGACACAAAGGTGGGAGTAACTGAGGCCTGCTTCTGTCTGCATTTCAGGCACCCCCCAGAGGTGCCTGAATGTCTCCAGTCTCTGCCCTGAACACTGTCCTGTTGTCACCTTAGAATCCAGAAAAAGGCAGAGCTTCGTGGGCCAATCGGGCTGGGGTGAGCTCACCTGCCAGGCTCGAGCCGCCATCTCGTGGGAATCGGATTGACCCCCTCAAACAATAAAGACTTTTTGAGCTGTCTTGCCGAACCAGACCTGAGATAACTATCAGTCAGACCACACTTGAACCAAGGCGGTTTAATTCTGCGTACCTCTTACCTCCTGTCCCAGTTCTTCCTCTGTTTCAACCCGAAGTTCTTGTCAATCCATTGGGATGGGCTGAAATCCTTGCCTTCTGTCCTTTCCACATTTGATTTGGGAAAAGATTTGGCTACTTTGACTAAATTCCCTTCCTGTCTTCTGACTGTTACTTACATTTGCTTACTTTGGGGTGAATATCTGGACCTGACATGTGGAACCCCCAGAGATGGGCCTCTTGCCTAGGACTCTAGTTACATAGTCTAGGAACACTGAATTAAGTGTGTGTGTGTGGGGGGGGGGGTCATAAGATTTTTAATTGCTTAAAATGTATAACTAAAGTTCCCATACTCTAAATGTCTGTTTCTAATGGGTCACCCTACAGAGCGTGACTGGGGAGCAGTTGTTGTTCAGGAATATTTGACTGGACAAGACTTACAGATCCTTATTCTTGGCTGTGGAGAGCGTGGTTCCTGGGTCAATAGTGTTGGCATCATTAGGACTTTGTTAGAATGCTGGATCCCAGTACCACATACATCCTGGAAATCAAATCTTCATATTGTAATGATCCTAGGTGCTCTGTAAGCAGCCTACATCTTGAGGTTTAAACGGCAAACTTGCCGACCTAGTAGACTGCCCAGTACATTTTACGCTCTGCGGCACCTGACTGGTTTCCACTCTCAGAATCTTTGAACATGTTTGGAACAGGTAACTCCACTGAACTGTGCACTATTTTTTTTTTTTAAGATTCCCCAGGAAAGCCAAGTTTGGAAACCATCACAATAGCTAATCATCTCTTCACTGATGAGGAAATGAGGCTGGAGTAGGCCTATCCTAACTGCTATCAGGTTGCCAGCAAGACTCCCTACATAAAAACAATCATATTATTATTTACTAAATGCAATTAAATAGAATATACGTAGAGAATTTGTCCTAAAGAATTCACAGTGTTTTAGTCCAGCTTGGTTGTTATAACAAAACAACACAGACAAGAGACTTAAAAAGAAACATTTGTTATTTTTTGCTTCTTTGTCAAAAATCAGGTTGTTCGAAGGAGTTTGGATTAATATCTGTGTCTTTGATTAGGTTCCATTGGTCCTCCTGTTTGTTTTTATGCCAATATCAGGCTGCTTTCAGTACTGTAGCTCTGTAGTAGAGTTTGAAGTCAGGGATTGTGATGTCTCCAGAAGTTCTTTTATTGTACAGGATTGTTTTAGCTATTCTGGGTTTTTTGCTCTTCCATATGAAGTTGAGTACAGTTCTTTTGAGGTCTGTGAAGAATTTTGCTGGGATTTTGATGGGCATTGCATTGAATCTGTAGATTGCTTTTGGTAAGATTGCCATGTGGTACATTTACACAATGGAGTAGTACACAGCAGAAAAAAAAACGATATCAGGAAAATGGATGGAGCTAGAATTGAGTGAGGTAACACAGACACAGAAAGACAATTATCACATGTACTCACTCATAAGTGGCTTTTAAACATAAAAGAAGGAAAACCAGCCCACAAATCACAATCCTGGAGAACTTAGACAACAACGAGGACACTAAGAGAGACTTACATAGATCTAATCTACATGGGAAGTAGAAAAAGACAAGATCTCCTGAGTAAATAAGGGAACATGGGGACCTTGTGGGAGGGTTAAAAGGGGGAGATGAGAGACAGGGAGGGGAGCAGAGAAAAGTATAGAGCTCAATAAAAATCTATTTTAGAAAAGAAACATTTGTGATTCTCCTGCCTCAGCTTCCAGGGTAGCTAGTATTAGAGGCCTGTACCACCAGGCCTGGCTCACATTCCTGTTTTTAAAAGCAGACCTCTGAAACTAGAGAGCCTTCAGTGGACACTAAATCTCGTGGCACCTTCATTTCCTCTCTTTAGTTTCAGCCTCCAGGGCTCTGAGAAATGTGGTAGCCCCTAAACAGACCAAGACATTCGTTGGTATTACAGTGAGCTAAGTTGTAGGTAGAATATTGTGTTGGATAGATTTTTGTCAACTGGCCACAAGCTAGAGTTATCTGGGGAGAGAGACTCTCGACTCAAAAAAAAAAAAAAAAAGTCTCCGTAAGATCAGCCTGCAGGAAAGTCTGTTGGGTAGCCTCCTGATTAATGATTGATGTAAGACGGTGCATCCCACTGTGGGCAATGCCACCTCTGGACAGATGTTCCTTGTTACATAAAAAAGCAAGTCGAGTGAGCCATGGGGAGCGAGCCAGGAAGCAGTGTTCTTTCATGGCCTCTGCGTCAGTTCCTGCATTGGCTTTTCTCAATGATAGACTGTGATCAGTGTGTGTGTAAACCAAACAAACCTTTTCTTTCCCCGTTGATTTAGGCCACGATGTTCATCATAGCAACAGGGAACGAACTTGGACAGATACCAGGCTTATAGTACACAGTCCACCAGGAAGACATTTGTAATCTGGTGCATAAGATGACAGACGCGTGGTCTCCTAGAAACATATTCGGATAACAAGACAGTTTGTAACAAGGGCCGTGTTCATTAAGCGGAATCCAGACGTCCAGTCAGTAGACCGGTGCCTGCTTGCGATGGATAGTGTAAGAGCTAATCCTGATGAGATCTAGATACACCGGGTACATCTGGAGGAGACAGTGTAAGAGCCCATCCTGATGAGATCTAGATACACCGGGTACATCTGGAGGAGGACAGTGTAAGAACCCATCCTGATGAGATCTAGATACACCGTGTACATCTGGAGGAGGACAGTGTAAGACCACATCCTGATGAGATTTCGATACCAGGCACACCTGGGAGAAGCTTATTGGTTAATCCAGGTGAGAAAACCTATCCTAAAAGTGGATGGAGCCATTTCCTGGCTGGTCATATGTATTTGATAGAGTCCGGGGGTCCCTCTCTTTGCTTCCTGTATCCAGCTCTATCTCCTCCTTTTGATTACCTGCTGTG